TCCCACCGGACTTCGACAAATATCAGTTTGCCTACAGGGGGAATAGCTCGACAAACGATGCCATAACTACTGCTTTACATTCTGTAGCGAGCCATCTGGAGAAACCCGGGAACTTTGTCAGGATGCTTTTCATAGACAATAGCTCAGCCTTCAACACCATTCTGCTGAGCATCCTTATCAAAAAGCTGACTGACTTGGATTTTCCCTCTTCCATCTGTGACTGGATCAAAGACTTTCTGAGGGACCAGCCACGAACAGTGAGGGTTGGGTCTGTCATATCCACCCCCTGAAGCTTAGCACTGGCTCCCCACAGAGCTGTGTGCTCAGTCCCTACCTGTATTCACTGTACACATATGATTGTGTACCATCAGGCCCATCTATTGTGATCATTAAGTTCACAGATGAACCACTATACTGGGTCTCATTACAGGTGGAGACAAAACAGCGTACAGGGGGGAGGTTCAAAAACTTTCCACATGGTGCTTAAAAAACAACCTACACCTGAACATCAGCAAGACCAAGGAGATGGTGTTGGACTTCCAGAGGAAGAGAGAGGAACCTGCCCCACTTGACATTGAGGGGGGTTGTGTAGAGAGAGGTTCCTCCTTTAAATTCCTGGAGTCCATCTCAGTGAAGACCTCACCTGGAAAAATAACACAATCCAGGTGGCCAGGAAGGCCCAACCAAGATTCCATTTCCTTAGGTTCTTGAGTAAAAACAGGGTGGAACAACAACTGATGACCTCCTTTTACCGGTCCACAATAGAAAGGGTCACTTATTGCATCACCGTATGGCAGTGGTTCTCAACCTTCCTAATGCCGCGACCCATTAATACAATTCCTCATGTTGTGGTGACCCCCAACCAGGGGTGGGTTCTAAAATTTTTTACTACCAGTTCTGTGGGCATGGCTTATTTTGTGGGCATGGCTTTGAGGTCATGTGACTGCGTGGGCGTGGCTATGTGTATAGGGACTACTCAGAGGGCTGAAAAAAGTCATTTCTGACAGGTCCTCGCACTTTTGACTGGTCCTCGCACTTATGACCACCCTCACATTTATGCCCGTGCAGCATTCTTAACAACCATGTCACTCATTTCAAAACTGCTTCTCTTCACCATGGTGACAAGATAGGGCAAAAAACGTAAAATGTGAGGACAGTCGTAAATTCGAGGACTGGTCAAAAGTGCGAGGACCAGTCAAAAATAACTTTTTCAGCCCTCTGAGTAGTCCATGTGCACAAAAGGACTACCCAGAGGGCTGAAAAAAGTGATTTCTGACAGGTCCTCGCACTTTTGACCAGTCTTCACACTTATGACTGGTCATCATTTATGCCCATTGTAGCATTCTTAACAACCGTGTCACTCATTTCACAACTGCTTCTCTTCACCATGGTGACAAGATAGGGCAAAAACGTAAAAGGTGAGGACAGTCGTAAGTTCGAGGACTGGTCAAAAGTGTGAGGACCAGTCAAAGATAACTTTTTCAGCCCTCTGAGTAGTCCATATGCATAAAAGGATACAGCAATAGAGAGGGATGAAGGAAGGGAAGGAAAATTAGAGTAGGAGTGAGGGTAAGAGAGGGAGGAAGAGAGGAGGAGAAGGAGAAAGGAACAGGAAGTAGGGAGGAGAAGAAGAGGGGGGGAAAGAAAGTAAGAAGGTAAGAAAAGAGAGAGGTGGTAGGTTTGAGGAAAAAGATTGCTGTACAATAAAAAAGATGAAAGGGAAGAAAACCAACCCCAAACAAATATAAAGATATTAAGATAAAGAATGAATTGTTAATGTCACGAGTGTTTCCAGGATTGCTGTGGCTATCTGCCTACTCACAAACAGTATGGTTTCAATCAAGCCATCTACTCAACCCCATTTCGTCACAGTTAAACTTTAAAGAATAAAAGAGAACAAATATAATAAATAGCAATAATTAGAAACACACATACAAACATACAATGTATTTGTATGAACAGAGTATTTGGCCAGTTCACAAATTTAAACAGTGTTTAGTCATTTCAATTAAATTTACAATTTTTATATTTCCTTTTTTCCGTATTTATTCCTCATCTATTTTTGTAAAAAAAACAATATTACCCTTCATCTTCATCTCTAATCTTAATCAAATTCATTTTTTCCCTTCTATTCTATATTATACCCCTTCCCATTGTCATCTATTTTTATATCCATCCTCACATTGGTTAATTATGTAATTATGTAATACAATTGTTTAATACAAATTAAACATTTTAATATAAATCAATTAGTTATATAACTCTCTTTTTTGTATATTAATCAATATGAACATGAATATTCCAATTATTTCCATGCAATCCAATTTCTTACAAATCAATTAATTATATTTACCAATAATAATAAACCAAATAATTTCCCTCATATATTCTTCCAAACCACAACTTAACCATTTCTGCTTTCAACACAATATACAATTAATAGTATCTCAATTATTACAATTCCCTAGTTAAATAGAGCTTTTTTTCTTTTGTGTTTTAAAATCTTGAACCTCCTCTTTTGCCCTGAATTTCCCATTGTTTCTAGTTTTGCACCTACCTTTTTTGGTGAGGAAAAAGAAAAAGAAATCTCTCTCTGCCTCATTTTGTCACGTTGCAGCAAAGACCCTGCTTTACTTTCAGTTTCGCTTTTTCAGCATAGCTAGGGGGGAAAAAAATCTGCTCCAGCAATTTACCTCTTTGCAGCTAGCTAGCAACAGAGCCCTCCGCAAAACAGCTGAGAGCAAATCAGCTGAGAGTGGGGAGGCTGATCAAATCAACTTATGGTAATTAACCTATGCTGAAGCTGAAAGGGGCTGTTTTTTTCTATTTTTGCAGGCACCGGTCTACTCATTTGTTTTCTTTTAACACTGATCAGCTGTAGGGCGGCCCTTTGAAGCCCCGCAGCAAGAATTTAAACAGTTTTTTTCCCTCTAGCCATCAACTGGGACTCAGGAGGCAGCAATAGATTGGGAGTGGGCGGGGTAAGCGAATGGCGAACAATGATCCAACAGAGGCAGAGGGTGAGGGTGAGTGAAGGCGTGGGGGGGGCGAGAGAGGGCTTTGGCGACCCCTGTGAAATGGCCGTTCGACCCCCAAAGGGGTCGCGACCCCCAGGTTGAGAACCGCTGCTTTAAAGTGACACAACCCACATGGCTATCATATAAATTCCTGCAGGTAAAGGGAATCTCAGGCCTCCTTGGCGCCAGGATATAGGTTGTAAAATATCTGATGACACAGGCCATGCTAGTAAATCGAATCCAAGTCGCCCCCTTCCTCCACTTGAATGGCAGTATCACTTTTAGGGATCTGACATGGTGTGCAGTGCTCTATAGCGTCGTTATGAGGGTAGGAATTATGTCCAGGATGCAAGGGGTCTGTAAATATTTTTACAGCCCTCTTTTTGAGGTCCTCAATGGAAGACAGGTTGGTAGTAATTGTTTTTTCTGAAGTTCTAATTATCCTCTGAAGTCTGTGTCTGTCTTGTTGGGTTGCAGAACCAAACCAGGCAGTTATAGAGGTGCAGATGACAGACTCAATAATTCCTCTGTAGAACTGTATCAGCAGCTCCTTGGGCAGTTTGAGCTTCCTGAGTTGGCCCAGAAAGAACATTCTTTGTGGTGCTTTTTTGATGATGTTTTTGATGTTAACTGTCCATTTTAGGTCTTGAGATATGATAGAACTTAGAAATTTGAAGGTCTTACTGTTGATACTGTGTTGTCTAGTATTGTAAGAAGTGGTAGTATGGGAAGGTTTCTCCTAAAGTCTACCACCATTTCTATGGTTTTGAGTGTGTTCAGTTCCAGATTGTTCTGGTCACACCACAAGGCTAGTTGTTCAACCTCTGGTCTGTATGCAGATTCATTGTTGTCTCAAATGAGACTAATCACTGTTGTGTCATCTGCAAACTTCGGTAGTTTAACAGATGGATCATTTGAGATGCAATTTGTACCTAAATTTGTGTATAAGACAATTCTAATCAGGAGACAGGATAAAGAATAAGAATAAAGAATTTTATTCAGAATAAAATCTGCATGTTGATGTGGCTAAGATATAATGTTCTCACTGCAAAGAGCAGGACAGATAATACATAAAGAGTCCATTCAAGATGTAGGCAGGAAAGAATGCTAGCAACAAGCAGCTGGCTTTCTAAAGAATGTTCCATTGGCAGTCACTGCCTTCCTAAAAATGAGTGGGAAACATGAATCTTCAAAGGTTTCTGGCCTGAATTTCCATAGTGATAAGAAAAGTTGGCAATTCTACATAAGTTGACAGGTTTGTATTCTGGGTCCCTTTACTGTTCTCCATTCCTCCTACAGCTATGGCCTGGCTGATATTTTGACATAGTACAGAGTGGCTGTTTATTACAGTTAAGTGTTGTGGCCTGTACTGTGAAATGCATTTTGTCTGTGGAATTTAACTGAACTTGGCATTTTAAAGTGTGTTGTTCAGTTGCTTACTTTTCCTAAGATTTCAGTGCTTCAAGATTGCTGAAACCTCTGCTTCAAGTTGAAAATGTTACACAAGAAGACATACCATGTAAAGGTTAGATTGGCTGTGATTTTGATGCTTAATTGTAAACAACAAAGTGCAGAGAAGCTTTTTTTTTTCTTCATCTTTGGCACAGGTTATAGTGTGATTGTATGTATTTAAGATGTACGAACTGCCCATTATTGTGAATGGCATGATAAGGGAACACATCATAGCATATAGAAGGAGGAAACTAGCAAATTATATTAAAATTTTGAGTGCAATTTTTATTTATGTTGGGAACAAATTCTAAAATAATTAAGACTTTAAATTTCAACTGGTCTCGAACTAGCATTTTTCTCATTTCAATACTGCAATGGAAAATGACTAACTGAAAAGGTTCAGGCAAAAACTTAAGAAATCACAAGATCAGCCTATCAGTAATTTCATGTATTTTAATTATTAAAAATTGTTTATTAACAAAGCTCAGGCAAATGCCAAAGTTCTTATATATGTTTTATGTTTCTTTATAGGAGCTTCAGAAAGAAATTGAAAGCCATACAGATATCTTCCATAGCTTGGATGAAAATGGACAGAAAATCTTGAGATCACTTGAAGGTTCTGATGATGGTGCCTTGTTGCAGAGACGCCTGGATAACATGAACTTCCGATGGAGTGAACTTCAGAAAAAGTCTTTAAATATCAGGTAGGGCTAAATAGCAACAGCTGGGAAGCAGAAACTGAAGTGAAAACAGAAGTATTTTTGGCAACCCACCTACCTATATAACCCTCATTCTGTGTTCCCTTAGTCTTTTTATTCTAATTGGACTAAAATGGCTGGACAATTTATTCAGTGAGAACATACTAGATTACTCCATTACTCTAGAAAGATAGTTCATTATCTGCTCATAAGAGAGTTTTAAGATGCAAAGACTTGATGATTTTCTCTATATTTATATTTGCTTAAAAAGAGATTAATTCTGCTCACCTAGTCACCATGTTTTTGCTGAAATTATTACTTTATAACTATGATTCTATATAGTGTAATAAGTAAATTTGTAGCCCATGCTAAATTAATTTCAGAAGAATTACAATTAAAGTAAATTTCAGAAGAAGCAAAGCAAATTTCAGAGGACATTCTGTTCACGTGATGTTCTTTCTCTGATATAAATAGCATATTTGAAACATACATAATGATTTGGGAATTCATATATAATAAATTTGCATAGAACTTGGAATAATATTTATTTATGATAATTACAATCTGGTGAATGGACAATAATTTGGGGAAAACTTTGCAGTGTGGAACTCACACATAAATGTTCCTTAATTTTTTATATAACTTTAGGTCTGTAAATCCAATTTTGGGGTAGAAAGGTGGTGTCTTATTGGGGAGAAAAAAGTCGTTCTGCAAAAGTTCATAATAAAAGGCATTATTAGAGAAAATTTTTAAAACTGCAGTGCAGAGAGAGTATTGTTTGAATCACTTTTGTTTGCTCTCAACCTTTTCAAAGCGTTTTTTTTTTTTGCATAATAACAGAAATCATCTTCATAACATTCATTATTAAAAATAAATGAAATACGTGAATCTGAAAAATATTAATGTCTGAAGTGAAAATAAAATTATTTTCCCCATATATATATAAAAAGGATCTTTGAAATCTTCATAAGCCATTTCTATTCCTTGAACTTCATAAACAAAAAATAAAAACAGCATATGAGTCAGAGGATGTTTAATAAAGGAGTTTAATGATTTCTTTGCTGTAATTTTGATCACCCAATTTTGATACCACTGATACTAAGCAAATTGAAAATAGTAACCATAGTTTATCATGGTTGCCTTTCTTTCTTGAATTAAACATTAAAGCAATGTTCTTATTCTACAGAAGTAGGAAGTTATAATGAGACATTTATTATAGCCAAACCATGTAGGTGAGAAACACAATTAAAAGGCATTCAGTTGTTATTACACACAAACACGCATGCATGCACACACATAAACTTATTTATCTATAGATTGGAGAGTGGAAACAATAGTTACATTGCCTACATTCACACAATATTCTGGACCAGGTTAGTGTCCTGTTCATTGTACAATAAAAGAGGCATTCACACAATGTGCTAAGTTTGGACATTTGTAAGGTTTATATACATGTATGTGTGTAAGTTTTAAAATGCTATGTGAATATAGCTCAGAGAAGTTATGTGAATTCAGAAATGGATTAATTCAGTCAGCAAGCTGGGCAGAACTACAATGAGAATTACGGACAAAATGCCTCTCAGCATATACTGTAATTCAGGTTAACATTTAGCAGCTGAACCAAACTCGGAAATGCTTTCATATGAAAGCCTACAATTTGTTTTGTATTCTCCCAAATTATTTTTCAGCTACTGATTATGAAAATTAAGTATTCTTAGTAATACATTTTGGATGTGAGAATCAGTATTCTTACTGCAACTTCTTAAGAGATCCATTTGTCAATCCTGATATACTTTCTTCCCATTCACCACTTTTGAACTGTATTTTGCCTCCTAACTTCTGTTTGTGTAATTCAAGCTCTCCATTTTGAAAGAGAGTCACAAACAGGTGGTATTCAGCAGGTTCTGACTAGTTCTGGAGAACTGATAGCAGAAATTTTGAGTAGTTTGGAGAAGCGGTAAATACCACCTCTGACTGGCCCCACCCCCATCTATTCTCTGCCTCCCGAGTCCCACCTGATTGAGAGGAAATGGGGATTTTGAGGAAACCTTCCCCTGGAGTGGAGCGGGAATGGAGATTTTACAGTATTCTTTCCCTGCGATGCCCACCAAGCCACACTCACCAAGCCATGCCATGCCACGCCCACCAAGTAGTAAAAAAATTTGAATCCTACCACTGGTCGCAAAAGGTACAGAATCTGAAAAGCTAAATTTTTGAATGTAGATGTTTGGCTTTGAAGAAAAGTTCACAATAATGACTTTGTTTTGTTTTGTTTTTTGTTGAAAGTCTCACGCTTTCAAAATAATAGAAAGTTTTACCCCCACAAATGAAGTGTGCTTAGCTCCTGCACTTGCAACATTTGACATTCAGCTAACATTGTTGGGCAGCTTTCAGCAATTTTTAAGCTAGTTTATGTTGATTTTAATAGATTTTAACTTTTATAGAATTTAGATTAATTTTTTTAACTTTTGTACTCAATATTTGTGACGTTTGGGAGGGAGGGAGGAAACAAACAAACATATCTATTATATAGCTTATATTTTAACTTTTAAGAAATGTTTAAATGAATTTAGAAAAATAGAGGGGAAAGAAATAGTAAAAGTTCTGATCTCACATTGTGCCTTACTACTGATTTACTGGAAATCATCTTTTTCATATTATCTTTATTTTGCATATATGAATCAAGGAAAATATTGCTTTTGGTAATATTTGTAACACAGAAACTGAACCTCTTTTTCAGGTCTCATCTAGAAGCAAGTTCTGATCAGTGGAGACGTCTACACCTTTCTCTTCAGGAACTTCTGGCATGGCTACAGTTGAAAGAGGATGAGCTAAAGCAACAGACACCAATTGGTGGTGATCTTCACACTGTACAAAAGCAGAATGATATCCATAGGGTATGATTTTTTTTAAAAAAAAATCTGGAAGTAGATATAAAAACATAAAAATTTGAAAATTATTAACTCATTTTCCCAGGTTTTATGTTGATAATATAATTTATTTATTTTTATTTCATTTGTCAAGAATGTATTAGGTAATATATATAAGTATAAGCATGAATTGAATACATAAAATAGATACAAATACGAAATATTAGGACAGGGACGGTAGGCATGCTGGTGGTCTTATGCACGCCCTTTGTTTGTTTATAATCTCTCAGATTATAGTTTCTATATCTTTACGTTTAATTATGCTTCGAGCAATAGAGGTAAAGAACTACACATCTTAATATGACCACTTTTTAAGGTATGATAAAAAATATATGGTGAACTGCAATGGGGGTAACTAGAGGACAAGTACATAAGTCATGGCATATTAGAAGTCATGTGATGAAAGGCATATGACTTCATAATACAATTGTCATGATTTAGGTACTTTCATCTGATGTTGGACACAAGTACGTATTGGAATTTAGGTCAAGGCATCATAACATGTGTCTCTTCATGTTGGCAGCATTTTAGCTTGCTGTAAATGATACCATATTTGTTGAACCTTTGCCCTCCAACAAAGATTGGAATCATTTGGAGGACGTATTATTTTATGGTTCTTGTTTTAAGGGATTTCAAAGCCTATAGTGACATTGCAAAGATGGACTCAGCATTCAACCTTTTATCTGTAAAGTTGAAAATATTTGTTGGCATTATTATTATTTGGAATAGAGATTTGGAATACAGAGATGGCAAAAATATTGACACAATTGCTCCTCTTCCTCTTGCAGAGCCAAATACATTGTTCAATTTATTAGCAAGGTAAAGGAGATGAAAGGGCTAGAACAACATTTGAACTGCAAGATCAAAATATGCTTGTTTGAAGGCCTAATTCATGGCAGTCCAGATAGCAAAGATTGATTACATCAGTGTCTTTATTATATCTGCATTGATAAAGTGGGTACTACTCTGTGCACTATGCATTTTATTAGAGAAATGACAGTCATTATGAACAGTTCATATAATTCATTGTGGATAGTGTTATTCAGATCTGCTATCATTTGGATTCCAATGGTAGGGCCGATCATTGAAATGTACATTGGGCAACCATATAACTTGTTATTATAAATCTTGCAGACTAAATAAGTGAGAAGATAAATTATTCATTATTTAAACCTTCCTAGCTGATAAATCTGTCAAAGTAGAACTGACCACATGTTTAATGGATGTAATAAATGTCTCTAGCAATTGGTATGCATTCCCCCACTCAATCTGTTTAAAGGAGAAGATCTGGAACAGCTGTGCAGTTACAGGTCAATTTCTAAGAAAACTGATTGAAAAGGCAGTGGCCTCACAGTTGTACTTATAATTGATTTGATACTAACTATCTGAATTCATTTTAATTTGACTTTCAACTTGAATAACAGATTTCTATACCACTTTTATATGACCCATGTGAAACCTGGATGGATGGGCTATGGAATTACTTGATGGCTTTTATAACATTTACCATAGTATACTTCTTAATTGCCCAGTGAAATGAGTTTTAGGGGAGGTTTTAGTTTTAGGGGGTTTTGTGCAGAATTCTGGATTTCCCATAAAACCAACTCCAGATGTTTGTATCAACAATATTAAGCTGACATTCAATACCAGATCTATGATTACCCATAGGTCTCTATCAGTGGTGAAATTAAAATTTGTTACTATCGGTTCTGTGGGCGTGGCTTGGTGGGGAGGTAATGTGACTGGGTGGGCGTGGCCAACTTTCTTTTTTTAACTTTTAAAAGCATTTTTTCTATAACCTCTTCAGCCGAAGAGGTTGTTAAAAATGCTTTTAAAAGGCTCTGATGATCCCAGTTGAGTTGCCTGATTGTCAGAGGCTTTTGTTTTCTTTTAAAAGCATTTTTTTTTGCTTTTTTTTACTTTTGATTCGGCTGAAGAGGTTGTAGAAAAATGTTTTTAAAAGGCTCTGACGATCCCAGCTGAGTTGCCTGATCGTCAGAGCCTTTTAAAAGCATTTTTTTCTACCAAAGGCTCTGACGATCAGGCAACTCAGCTGGGATCGCCAGAGCCTTTTAAAAGCATTTTTTAAACAACCTCTTTGGCTGAAGAGGGTCTGACGATCCCAGCTGAGCCAAGCGATTGTCAGAGGCTTTTTTTTTTTTACTTTTAAAAGCATTTTTTCAGCCAAAGAAAAAATGCTTTTAAAAGTAAAAAAAAGCCTCTGATGATTGCGCGGCTCAGCTGGGCATGGTGGGGGGCCAGGAATTTTTGCTACTGGTTCTCCGAACCACCCACCGCCATCGGGCGATCCGGTCCGAACCGGGAGCATTTCACCCCTGGTCTCTATACTCATTTAGCACATAGTGTGATTAACTGAAAAATGATGAAATGTTCCAGAACATCCCAAAACAAATGTCTGCCTTTTGTATTTGTATCCTGATATCAGGACACAACTCCCTGACTACCATGAATCATGGATTTTTTGTTGTAACATCATGACTGAAATTCATCATTTGTCTTTCCTTGCCATCTGTAAACACCTATGCTTGTCTCCCCTGCTGTTTAAGGTCTTCATAAAACAGCTAGAGCTGGTTATTTTGGAGCCAGGCATGGTTTTAATACCTTTGAATATTATGAAAACTTTATAACTTTATAATAGAAAACTTTATAATAGACTAGGTAAACTAATCAAATGGAATTTATATGCAAATAATATGAAAATTTGTAGCTGAGAAACTATTTTCTGGAATTAAAATTCCACCTCTTTTGGTTATGTTTGAATTCCCCCCAGTGACTAGGTCACACATTAGGAGTGTTACTTGAGCCTCAGCTATCATCTGATTAAAAGATGGTGATTAGGGTATATCATGTATTTATTAGTGCACCAGTTGGATTTGGCAAAGGCTACCTGTAAGGATTGCCTCTCCTTCCAACTTAAGAAAGTAAAAACTCTTGAAACGTGGTTGTTCAAAAGAGACCTTTTATTAAGCAGAAGTGATAGCCACCCGGTTAAAGCAAGATCTGAATACCCTTAGGCAAGACAAGTAGGATTAAAGCAGCAGAGACCCCTCCCTTTAAGTCAGAATGCAGATTTTAACCAATACACAAGTGTGAAGATGCTTTCTTTCCCAGTTTCCCTGAGAACCCGAACAACCATGCATTCACACTGTTATCCTTTAAAGTGAAACAACCCACATGGCTATCATAAAAATTCCTCCACGTAAAGAGGATCCCAGGGCTCTTTGGCACCAGGATATAGGTTGTAAAATATCTGTTGACACAGGCAATACTAATAAATCGAATCCAAGTCTCCCCCTTCCTCCAATTGAATGGCAGTATCACTTTTAGGGATCTGACATGCTACCTCCTTAGAAAACGAAAGGGTCCACCTGTAAAAAAAACAAATATACACAAGATTTCATGATAGTATATTAACAAGGTTTGTTAGGATATTGGGAGTGAAATTTTCTCAGTAAGATTGGAGCCCTAACATGGTGTTTAGCGACCCATTCATTGTGTGCTGATGGTAAATGTTTCCAAGCGATTAAGTATTGGATTTTCCCTCTGTGGATCCTAGAATCAAGGATTTCCTTGATTTCAAAGTGTTGTTCACCTTCAATCATGATGGGAACAGGTGGTGTAGATGCAGGTGGTCTGAGGGATGAGATTACTTCTCGTTTGAGTAAACTGATATGGAATACTGGGTGGACTTGCCTGAGTGTTTTTGGAAGGAATAGTTCAACTGCTACTGGATTGATGATTCTAGTGATGGGGAAAGGTCCAATGAACTTTGGCCCTAGTTTTTCGATGGTTGTAATGATTTTAGGAATTTTGTAGATAAGTATACTCTGTCTCCAATATGAAAAGGTTTGGGTTCCATCCTTTTCTTGTCATCTTGAATTTTAAAAGCTTCTCTAGCTTCCTTTAAGGCTAATCTAACCACTGGCCATGTGTTTTGCAAATTATCCATCCACTCCTTAAGTGAGGGGATGGTGGGTTCTTCTGTGGGTAGTTCAGGTATGGGACTGAAATCCTGGCCTGTTGCTACTCTAAAAGGGGTAAAACCAGTGCTTGAATGTACAGCATTATTAAATGCAACTTCAGCAAAAGGCAAAAATTTGGTCCAGTTATCCTGTTGAAAATTAATGGAACATCTTAAATATTGTTCTAATACCGAGTTCAAAATTTCAGAATTTCCATTAGTAGCCGGATGATGCGAAGAGCTCAACCCCTGGCCAGTACTAAGTAAGTCCAGAAATGCCCTCCAAAAGTTGGAGGTGTATTGAGCCCCTCTGTCGGAGATGATCCTTTGTGGAGCACCATGAAGTTGATAAATGTGTATTAGGAATAATTTGGCTAAACTTTTAGCAGTTGGGATCTTTTGGCAGGGTATAAAATGTGCCTGTTTTGAAAACAGGTCTGTCACGACCCAAATAACAGTATTTCCCGCAGTGTTTGGCAATTCCACAATGAAATCCATAGCAATCTTTCTCCAAGGCGCTGAAGGTTCAGCTACCTTCTGCAATAGACCTGGGGTTTTCCCCTAACGTCTTTTTGCTGCTGCACAAATGGGGCAGCTAGCTACATAGCTTTCTATGTCCTTTTTTAGTGATGGCCACCAAAATTGTCTTTTAATCAGGTGTAAAGTTTTCACAAACCCAAAATGTCCAGCTAATTTGGAGTCGTGGCACCGTACCATTAAGCATAGTCTTTGGCTGGTTGGAAGATACAACTTCCCTCCCTTTCAAGCTAAATCATCTTTCATCAGACAGCTGGATTTGTTGTTCAAAAACCATTCATCAGTGGCCAATGCTTGTTTAAAAGTTTGGGTGGTGTCATTGTCCGTCAATGTTTCTTGTTTTTCCTGGGATCTGGTGACTACTTTAGCGGCTAGTTGATTGTTTTGTACTATGGGTTTGATTACATCTGACTTTGCACTATTGTATTGCAGTTTTCTGGATAGCGCA